CTGTGTGTGTGTGTGTGTTTGAGCCGTTCTGTTTCTTTGTCTTTCTCTCAGCAGCTTCTTTTCTCCAACAATATTTTTCACGGCCTCTGCCTCCAACAAACACAGACGTACAGGAAGACGGAAACAAAGAGAGACAGAGACATTCAGGGACACTCAGAATCACTCGAAGACACACAGGCACTCGGGGACATTCAGTGAAATTCAGGGACACAGACATTGAGGACATCCAGAGACACACAGAGACTGAGCTAGTGTTAGTCTCCGTCTCTTCTCTCTGGGTCTTGTTGGAGCAGAAGCCTCGTCTGAATGAAACGTCTACATTTACTGATTTTTAATCTGAAGGACATCAGAACTGTTGGACAGAGACAAACCAACAGACGGACGTTGGTAAAGTTAGGGTGAGAAGACAAATGGACACAAAGACAAGGGCGTGTCTGTGATGATGAAACACTGTGTTGCCATTAGCTACTCTGTTGTTGAATTTAGCTTTTACCTGCTTCAAACATTTTAGGTTTTAGCTACTATTTTGCCAATTATAGTTCATAGCTTTTATGTTGCTAATTTTAGCATTTAACCACGATTCTTCAGTTTTTAGCCTTTAGCTGCAATTATTCTGTTTTTAGCTAGTTTTTCAGATTTTAGCTGTCATTTGTTTTTAACTAGTTTTTTTTATTTTAGCTGTAGTATTATTTTAGCTACAGTTTTTTCTGATTTTAGCTGTGATTTGTTTTTAGCTGCAGTTTTTCTGTTTTTAGCTGTGTTTTGTTTTTAGCTGTAATTTTTCTGTTTTTAGCAATATTTAGTTTTTATCTGCAGTTTTGCTGATTTAAAGTCTATTTTTTTTCCATTTATCTTTATTTATCCAGGTAGTCTCATTGAGTCACGAGAACTCATTTTCAACAGAAACCTGTTTAGGAGCAGATGGTGGGGGTTGAGGGCCTTGCTCAGGGGCCCAGGGTGGAGCAAATGAGGGTGGAGGCAGGTGTGGGTGTTTCACCTTTTCCACCCACATTTTGATGTTAACGGTACCGGGAGTTGAACCTGAGACCTTCCGATCACAGGCCCATCTTCTACCCTCTGCGCCACCATTCCCCCACAGTCTTAACTGTGGTTTTGCATCATTTACCTTTTACCTTTTTTGGATTTGTAGGTTTAGCTTCTGTTTTGCTGATTTCTGTTTTTGCCTGTTTTAGTTTTTTGTTAATTTAGCTAAATTTGTTTCTAAACTATCATTATGCTAATTTAAGCGCTTATGTATTGTGTTGCTGATATTAGCATTTATCAATGGTTTTTGACATTTAAGTCTTTAGCTACTTTAGCTACTTTAGCTTTGTTTTGTTTTTTTGAATGTCCAGAGGACCAGATTTAACTTTTTTAGATTTTTCTACCTGGATTATTGAGCAGCATCAGGATATCTTTAGCTACTGTTTTGTTGATATAGCTACATTTAGTTCTTTGATAGTTTTGTTCATTTTAGCTACATTTTGTTTTCTGCTACAGTTTTGCTAATTTTATGTCTTTATGGTTTTGCTTCAATAAGCTTTTACCTGTTTATCATTTTAGCTGCTGTTTTGCTGATTTTAAAGTTTTGCTTGTTTTAGGTTTTTGCAACACATTACCTCTTAACTAAAATTTTGCTAAACATAGCGTTTAGCTACTGTTTAGCTTATGTTGGCATTCTGTGTGCCGTCACAATGTTTAGCCTTTAGCTACAGTTTAGCAGAATTAAGCTACATTTAGTTTTCAGCTACAATTAAACAAATTTTAGCTAATTTAATCTGCCGTTTTGCTGATTTTAGCTCCCGTTCTGCTTGTTTGAACCTCATCTCCTTCATGCTCAGACGTCCTGCCGTGTTTTTGCAGGAACAGCTACATTTTTAAAAAGTTTTTCGTTAATGTTTTTTCTTTTCAAACCACGCGTTGCTCCTGTTTTTCATGCTAATCATCAGAAGCATTCGGCTCACGTGTCACCGCTCGCTCTTGTAAAAGTCAGAAGAGAACGCCGACTTGCTGGTTTGTCGTTGTTCGGCTGAGTGTCTGCCTCCTCCACTGATTAGCCGAAGTGTCGACGTTCTTGTGGAGCAGAACAGAAATCAAACAACAAACAGCTGCCAGCGGTTTCCACTCCGGTGAACACGCGTGTCTCGACCCAGCGGTTCGTTTGACTCGGCCTGCTTCGTAATATTCCACACAGTCAGACGTGTCTTTTGTATGAACAATATTCCACTAATTGCATCCTCCCGTCGAGCTAATTATTTTAGCATTGTGCTGTGATCCCAGATTATCTGGAGTCGTTCAGAACGCACGGAGAATCTCACAAACGGCTGCTCGTGCGTTGTAAAGCAGGCGGGAGAATAACGGTGACGGATAATGAGATGAATGTCATTCTCCTGTTTCGCACGAATAAAAGATGAGTTTGTGTAAACCCCCCAGCTGTCGGCACGTTTTAGGAAAGACAAACAAAAAAACGAGCAGAGTTTGGCTGACGGCCAACGGGAAGACGGAGGAGGATTTAAAATTCATAAATATTTCTGTTTGAAAAAAGAAGCTGCAGATTTTTTATTTGTTACCACCCTGGATAAACACTCGAGCGTTATGATTTAAAATCACTTTATCTTTGCTGCCTGTCATGCAAGGTGGGCAGTGGGTGTGCATGTCTGTTAGCAAAATATCTCATCCATTGCAGGATATATGAATTCTTCAGTAAGGAATCATCGTCTTTGAGTCGACTCCATTCATTTCATTTATTTGTTTAAAGTACACATCCATCAACATTTCTGCATGACACACCAATATAAACCCACCGGAATGAACTCAGTAGCTAAATTTCAGCTACTGTTCTTAGGCAGGTAAAAGAAATAACAACACCCAAGTGTGCAAGATGGCTGCCACAGCTAATCAAACACAAAAATGTCATTAATCCAGTCGATTTTAGACGTTGGACTAAATGCTGATCTAATCTGATCCCTTTCTTTGTCCCTCGTCAACGAGCAAACAGGGAACTGGAAACACTCCGTCTGTTCGTGTTGTAAGAACGTAAATTTAAAGAATAAGAGAAACACAAACTTCCTTTTTTGTGTGTGGCTGCATTTAGATGCAAGACAGGTTACTCTCAAGATCCAAGATGGCTGCCACCATACATATATGTAAACTGACCGCAGCTATCACTTGAGGAAACTATGCTTTCTAGTTTTCATATACCTTAAAAGTATAGTTTCCTCAAATGACTGGGGTGGCCAAAGATTAATCTATGGGGGGCAAGGCCATCGCTGGCCACCCCCTGGCTCCTCCACTGCACAGGGTGGTGGATAAAAAACTGCTGCCTCCACCCACCAGCATCCGTCATTCTGCGCTGGACAAACACAAACCTCCCTCTGTTCTCCACAGTAACGCCTGCCCTTTTGAACATCTCACACCAAAAACATTTAGGTTTACTTCTTCCTCCATTCATCTCCATTCCAATTCCATCCATTGTTAAAAATTAAAAATGCTGCTCAGTTTGTTTGTTTGAAACTCGTAACGCAGCGAGAGATGTCCAAAACATTGAGAAACTCGAGTGTTGATGAATTTAATCATGTGACTGAAAACTGAGAACATTTCATTTATCTCTTATTTAACATTTATTATCTCTTATTTAACATGTTATTTATCTCTTATTTAACATTTATTATCTCTTATTTAACATGTATTATCTCTTATTTAACATTTATTATCTCTTATTTAACATTTATTATCTCTTATTTAACATTTATTATCTCTTATTTAACATTTATTATCTCTAATTTAACATGTTATTTATCTTTTATTTAACATGTTATTTATCACTTATTTAACATTTATTTAACACTTATTTAACATTTATTTATCGCTTACTTAACATTTATTTATTACTTATTTAACATGTTATTTATGTCTTAACAATAATTTATTGCTTACTTAACATGTATTTATCGCTTGCTCATAAAACAGATGTTAGGACTTCATTTCATTTTGACTGCTGAACCACGAGTTCTTCATGTTGGAGCTCCTGAGCAGGGAACGGGGCAGCTGTGGTGAAGTTAACCCTTCGACCACTCGTCTACGACGGGAGCCGTTCACAACAAACTGAAACTTTGATCCCGTCTGAATCTTTCAAAAACTCGATGAGAGCATCACTTCACAACCGTCCGCTGCTTTGTATTTTTAAACGAATCATGAATCACATTAACGCACTGCACTGACTCTGACCTTTGACCCTGGACAAGCTTGTTAATATGTAAACAAACAATTTATTTAAAAACTTTTATTAATCATTTCCATTTCAAATCTACATCCATGCAAATATTACTTCAATTTAAAAACACAGTTGATGATTCTTGGGTGGCGTTCCTCGATGACGAGTGCTTTTTATTAACATGGCCCGGGCGAATTGTGCGGTCCTTGTGGGCGTTTCGGGTGGTCCCTGCAGGTGAATCGTGCGGTCCCTGCAGGTGACTCGTGCGGTCCCTGCAGGTGACTCGTGCGGTCCCTGCAGGTGAACCGTGCGGTCCCTGCAGGTGAATTGTGCGGTCCCTGCAGGTGAACCGTGCGGTCCCTGCAGGTGAACCGTGCGGTCCCTGCAGGTGAACCGTG